ATTGGGAGATAAACTAGTGATGTTTCACAGGAGACTTTAGAATCTGTAAAACACTTAATTCTATGAATGAGTTTTTAAAGTACAACTTTAAAGTTTTTGATTTTTCTATTTAAATAAAAAGCTTACTGATGATGTGTTTTAGCATGTCCTCAAAATAGATTTCTGTATTTCTTACAATCTTACAATATCTTCAGATCCCCGTAAGACAGTTGCAATTCATGTATCCCTGTAGTTCACCTGTGCAAATAATTTGACTTAAAAGTGAACAAATGGCAACTCAGAAAAAAAGTGCTAAATGAAGTGACTAATCCTTGTCTACTTCTGATCCCATCAAATGGATTTTCGCCACCAGAAAGATCTGAAGACAGGTGATGGGAAAGTTTTATTTTCAATGACTATTTTTAACCTGTAATTATGTTTTTAAATGTTCAGGTTGATAAAAGCTGAAATATCAAATTGAACAAATGTATTTTAAGTGGAAGAGCATTTTATTCTCAGAATAATTTATAATTTTCAGTTAAGACTGAGACTTTTAAAATGTTGTGGGTTTATTTTTCCTCCATATCACTAACATTAATGAATGACTGGATCATATTTACTAAATACACTTGATACCATGGTCACAATTAGAACCTCAGGTATTATGAGTTCTTATTTTCTCTCAGTCCCTAATATTCACATTAGAAAAATTGAATGTCAATGAGAGGTTGGATAATTTAGTCAATAAGTATGGATTATTTGTGGTTTTTCTGAATTTAAATGCCCCTTCAAAATAAAAAGTGATCACGTCATGCTTTATTTCAACTTAACAAATAATTTTTATGCTTCCCAGTAAATTTGGTGGTAATTATAGCTACTTTATTTTTTGACTTTTTAATTATGTCTGACTTTACACAACTATAAGATGAAAAGGGATTATCATAGAATAGGGCAATCAATTCATAGCAGGATGAAGAAACTAAAACCTGAAATACCTTCTATGTGCATATTCTTGGAAATTATTCATAGTTCAGAACTATACAATCTGTAGTTTTCATTCATGTGTATAAACTTCAATTAAGCATTTGTGTAAATGCTTCTGGTTTTATTCCAGTACTAATAGTTAAGCGCTAGCTAGGCAACCACATTTATTTACTTTTGCATCCAGAAAAAGAGTGTATCTTTATTTAAAAAAAAAAAAATTTTAGCTAGGCATGGTGGCACCTGCCTGCTATCCCAGCATTTGGGAAGCTGAGGAAGGAGAATCACAAGTTCAGGCCCGACCTAGACGACCACACATAGCTAGACCTTGTCTTAAAAAAAAAAAAAAGCTTGAATTAGGTATAAGAACGAAATGTTTATATTCAAATAGTACTTAGTTACTTAGGAAAGGATGATGATTAATGCCTTTAAGTTCATAGGATATTTATATAATTTAACTTAAACATATTAAAACTTTCTTTTAGAAATGAAAATGAAACAAAATACATTAATTCCCTAGATCTGAGACTTATTTTTCCTTTGGGGATGTATCTTAGTACCAGATTTTAATCAGCTACACTTCATTCTTTAAGTGAAGTTGCACTTATTTTACATATAGGGAAAATAAAGTAGCATCATGTTTAATGGAACTGTCTTCTAAGAGACTTATATTTTCATTGGCACATACCAGTCTAATTCTTATCTTGTTCTTAAGTTTTCCAGTTGTTTTCACTTAAATGGTGGTCATGTAAATTCCACAGCAGGGATTTGTCTATTTCATTTATGGCTGTGTATTTGGCCTGTGAATTAGGACAGTGCCTGGCACATAGTAGGCACTTACTAATTGAATGTAAAATACTAATTGATACATGTACTCATCCACCATCCACATGGTACCCATCTGTAAAAAGGCTAAAAAGGCATTGCAATAAACAGTACCAACCCACAACTCTAAATCCAGTCATAATCGAGGTATGCCTAAAGTAATATCCAATGATTGTACCTTAACTGTTAATTCAGAAGTGTCTAAAAGCTTCTTAATGAGAACATAAAATTTCAGTTCAAAGGTGAAAACTAATCATATGGGGCCACTTTGTAATGAGGGGTGAATCATGTTGCCATGGCAGGCACTCCATTTACTGGAACTGATTTAAGGGTGAGTTGGAAAGTAAAAGGTTTTGCTCTGATTACCTTCAGAATTTGGTTAGTTCTATTTTAGTCTTGTCTACCTGGCCTCAGTTCTTTAATCATAGTTTTCTTAAGGTTGCTTCATAAAGACTTAGTTGCTTTTGTGGTTCTCAGTAGGATCTAGTTCAAGGCCATCTCATTCACTGTTGGTGATTGGTAATTGACTGTTAATTTGATAATTACCCTAGGTGTACTTTTAAACTTGATGTTTCTGTTGTAGAAAAGCTGGCTAACCACCCCAATACCTGATCTCCAATCTAGATTCAAACCAAGCCATTTCTTGATGCTATTGTGTTGTTAGGTTATCTAAGTGCATTGTTTATAAAGATGCTTCTGGTCCTGCCTGCAAACATTTTTGGTAGGTGTTAGTCATGCCCACCTCTACAACTGAACTGAGGGCTGTCCTGAAAGGTGAGTAAACAAGGAAACAAGGTTTTGATTTTCCATGTTTGTAATTATCAGATTTTCACGTTTATATATTGTTTACCTGATGTAAAGAACTTTAGTTACGTAGTTAGACCTTTTGTAAATAAATGTAATTAGAAAAGAAAAACTTTCTACTAAATAAGTTGGATCTGTGTCCACATTTTTCTTCCAGCACTCACCAGTTCTGAGTTGTTTAATGCTCACATCTTTTCTTAGTGTAGTGCCTACTATTCTTGATAAAACTTCCCTCAAAAGGCTAACATCAACACCTTCATGCACTTGTTTCTTGCTTCAGATTGTTTTCTGAAGAATAGTTGGATATTAATTTTAAAATGGAAAACTGAAATTGATCCTTTCATATGAGCTATACTGATAATTAATCTTTGTAGGTACTTCTGATAAAGACTAGGGAACCAGATTATTAGAGAGCTAAAAAGAATTCCATCAGTTACTAAAGAGATATGTGAGTTTTAAAGCTGGTATTCTAAAAGTATCATCATCCAGCTTAAAATTAGGTATTTCCATGGAGAAAATTTCAGTATGTTAAACAAGAGTCAGTGATGGGTATAAAGTCCCATTCTGTGCTGAGCAAAGGAACGGTGATAATGGCATTTTAGTGAATTGTAGTGATGTGCTCACACATGGGGAGCAAGGGTACAAAATTACAGGTCACTAGTAAACATCCTTTTAAAAACCTGCTAGAATGAGACACGATCTTGGCAGTGGCACATGCCTGTAGTGTGCACACCTGTAATCCATGTCCTGGGAAGGCAGAGCCAGGAGGATTTCAAGAAGAAACAACATGCTAGAAGCTTGGGGCATGGCTCAATGATAGAACATACTTAGCTCATGTAAGAGCCTACATTCAATTTCTAACACCAGGGGAAAAAAAACCCTACTGTATAAAATCCCCTAACCATATCTTTTCTATCTTGACTTCTGTTTTTTTTGAGACAGGTTCTCAGTATGTAGTTCTACTTCAGGCTGTCCTTGAACTCATGGGGATCTTCCTGGCTCAACTTCTTCAGTGCTGGGATTACAGGTGTGTCACCATGTCCAGCTCTTTAAACCTAACTATATCTGACTCATTTAGGAGTACTGCTTTGGTGTAGGTTTGTAAATATTCTGAATTTGTGGAAAATTAAAGACCTTCAAAATCTTTTACCATTAAACACTTGTACAAAACAAACGAGATTATCACTAGTTGTAGAATGTAACATTTCCTCATAAAATAAAGCTGCATCTACATTAAGTAACTGGTAATTAGAAAGTGCACTGAATTGGGAAGAAGCCCCAATGTTTGTATAGGCTCTTGGATCTAAGAGGTTTGTGACCCTGGACAAGGCACATCATAATGTTCGGTTGGTTTCTTCGTATGTGTAAGTGTTGGAACCTCACAGACTTGCGAAAAACAGGGTAACTGAATACAGTGGAAAATAGCCAAGTGTCACAAACATGAAGTATGCACAGTAGTTGTGACAGAACAATCATTTATTGTAACAATTCCTTAAGTGATTATAAAACTATTTTAAGCTACCTGGAAGATTTTCTGAAAAATTTTTCTCGCTTCCAGAAAAACTTAAGTGTTACACTTAAGCTTTCTGGTGATCTTTGTGCAATGGGGGCAAACTGCTGTGTGTACATCGCCAGCCAGGATGCTGGGCAGGTGCAGGTCTTCCAGTCTACATAGTCTTCCTCTGTAACACAAGCTAATTAAAGCCAGGTGTGATGGCACACACCTGTAATCCCAGGAGGCTTACTCTAGGAGGCTAAGGCAGGAGGATTGCAAATTCAAGTCCATCTAGGCAACTCTGACTTGAAACAGTGTCTCAAAGGGAGGAAGGCCTGGGATGGATGTAGCTTATAGAGAAATCACTGGATTCAATTCCCAGTACCACCAGTTTTTTAAAAACATCCTAATTAAATTGAGGTAGCGTCTCACAAAATGAGTGCTATTTTCTCTAGAAGCAGTAAGTTTATAAATATGATTTTAGAGATCATATCCCATCCAGAATCTATTTTGTTACTCCATACAACAGGAGTTCGTAAGGGAAGCTGGGCACAGTGACACAGACCTATAGTTGCAGCTACTAAGAGGGCTGAGGCAGGAGAATTGCTTAAGCCCAGGAGTTGAAGACCAGACAGGACAGCATAGCAAGACCCCCACTTCAACAAAAAAAAGGAAGTTGGGGCCGGGGATCTAGCTCAGTGGTTCCACTGCCTACCTCAAGCACAATGTCCCGAGTTCGATCCCTGGTACCAAAGAAAAAAAAAAGTTCGTATAGGAAACGATTCTTCCTAAAATTTACCAATTAGTTCTGGATTCTGAGTTCAGCAACCAAGACATATCTTGCCAGAGAAGAATGCCTACATAAAACTAAAACTCCTTACAATGTACCATTGAAAGATGACAACATATTACAGAATAGTAGTGTAAATAGTTTATTTGCTCAGATGGCATGAAAAGACCAGAAAAGTAACATAAATTGCTTTTATAAAACATTTTTCTAATATTGGTAGGAAGCAGGCCCATTAATAGACAAAACAGAAAAGAACATGCCAACATTACTGTCTACTTGTTCATTAATATATAGGCAATTACTTTTAACATGTACATGCCAGCACTGAGCTTGGGAAAACAGCTGAATTGTGGTAAAGGTCCAACTATTTGTCTTCTATCTCATAGTCAAATTACTGTTTTCATCAAAATGAATGTTAACCCAACAGACAAAATCCTGGCATGTTCTTTTTAAAGTACACATTTAGGGGCTGGGGATTTAGCTCAGTGGTTCCGCCGCCTGCTTCGCAAGCGCAAGGACCCGAGTTCGATCCCCACCACCAAAAAAAAAAATAAAGTACACATTTATGGAAATAGGCCAGCATGTGGCAGTTTAAAAGTAATCTGTAAATAGGTACACTAAAATGAAATGTGGTAACTGATCCCTACACTGTCCTTGTAGTTAAATATATATTAAAAAAAAACCTATAAGTTAAAATAACATTCAGATTGTATAGCATAGGCTGATGCATTTTTAAACAATATTTACAGTATTACCTAGAGCCTTAGGTGGGAATTAAAGAGAAGTGTAAAAACCATAAAAAACTGCACCAATTTTATAGCAAAATATCTGTACATTTAAAAAATCATATAACTACACATTATCCAAGGAAAAAGGACCTTCACCAAGGGGTTCACATAAGCACAACATAAATTCAGTGGTTAAATACTATACAACAAACTTTACAATTAATATACTGTTGTAAGGTACCAAGAAGGTAAGCCAGAAGCAGAACGTTTATTATGAGAAGTATAAATTTAGTTTCAGTCCAGTTTTGTTAACTTTGGAATGGACTGTTTAGTCCCATTGCATATCTTTAAACTTAATCCTGATGTTCACACTTTTCAGCAACTTAATTGTAATTGCTCATAAATAACTGGGAAATGGAACAATTCAGCTTTGATACAAAATGCCAAATACATTGATATTTTCCAATTTATAAAAGGAAAAAGAAGAAACAAACCCTGCGATTGTCAGAGGAGAATAACGCTAGGTTCCTAACTTGCTCTGCTAGCAGATTCAATCTTCCAGGCTTTTGACAGAGCTGCCATAGTAAACTTCTCCCTGACTAGCAAGGCACCAATTTCTCATCTCAGGATCGACTCATAATGGCCCTCGGAAATCCTGATTACTGAGATGTTAATTTTAGTGTTAATAAATATATTTGCATCATTTAAAAAGCTGCCTCTAGCTTCAGAACACAGTACTGCAAATAAGTCTTCAACATTTATGCCACTGTCTCCTTGTGTTCATACCAGTGAATGTCTCTCACAGGGCATGGCGCCCTACCATGGAACTAGTAGAACGTGGTACTGGAAACAGCTGACTTTTCTTATGTCACTGCATTTTACAACCTGTTTGCACTTTGCTGGGGCTAAGTGACAAAAAGGATATGACTTTTTCCTTCTGTGTTGCAAGTCCTTTAAAATACAAAGTTGGTGGATATGGCTAGAACACAAAATTTCTTAAAAGACATCTCAGCAAAGAAAGCCCATAGCAGAAGCATCCTTGTTATTTACAAGTTATTAGGAAACCAGGATGGACCATCGTGGGATAATCACAATGGCACATTAATGAATTTAATACGAAATCTACATTTTGGTTAAAAAACTGAATAGCATAGTGGTGTAAAGAGATACCTAATCAAATCAAATCCTATTGCTTTGATTAATCTGAGCAGGTACTTCCATTTTTAGGCACTTGTTAACAAGGGTTGAAAGGAGAACCCATCATTTTAAAATTCCTATGTGTTTACTAAATCTGAGCCCTTTCAAATACTTTATCTGTGTTCAAGGCTGCAGCTAAATGGTAGCACATAAAGTCTATGTGGGCAGTTTCATTCACGCACGCCCTCGATTCATGCAGGCAAGTCTCAGGTTCACATGGTTATTTCGGCACCATTAACAGAACGTAAGTTCTGATCATCAAAGCGCCGCCTGACACTTCTCCTCACCGCATCGGCTCGTCTGTAGGGCTGGTTTCTAAGATCTGTAAAAAGGAGAGTACCAGTGAGAAAAACAGCAACATTTAATGTGTCTAATCAAGACAGGCTAGCTGGCAGCCAATCAAAGCAGCTTGTGTAGAAGAGTCAGCTAATAGTCCCTTCAAACCCACTGAGCATTGAACCAAAGACATGTACATTTGCCTTCAATGTTTACAGTTAAACAGTAAGATGTAATACTGGTAGGATTCTGGGACTTGAAGAGAAAAATATATAGGAGATTATTTCTGTCACTGGCCAGAGTCTAACTGGAGTCTTATTCTGAAGTCTTACTTTGAAATGTTTCTTCAATTATAAGCAGCTGTAGCTGGAAGCTACAAACATCAACAATATTTGTAATGGATTTTAAATTGCAAAACTAATAAACACACTTCTCTGTCCTATCTTATCCTTGAAGTCTTAACAATGAAGAAACCTCAAGGCCTTAGTTTGCAGACAGAAATTCCATTATTTTCATTCCATTAAGCCAGCTGAGGCTATTTTATTATTTTGTGAATTAGAAACATAATGCTTAACTAACCATTAAATCTAAATGACTATAATACTCCATTCTCTCAAAATTCTTTCTTGCCACCCAGTATGTTTTGTGTTTCATCAGCAGGGTAATGGGCTGTCCTCCATTTTCCAGTCTGTTTTGCTAGTGCAAAGCAGAATGTCTAACATTCAAAAACAAAGGTGGCTCTCAAATGAATCCAATCACTACATACTAGTTCAAGAGGTACTGCTCTATTAGGATGAAATGGGATGAACAAAAGAATTTTATGTAAGTATTCTCAACATGAAGGCATGTTTTCATGAATAAGGTAGAACCTAGGCAGCATACAGCCTCCTTTTGATGGTATCAGGACATAAAGAAAAAACAGAAACAACCCCCCCCCCCCCCCCGCGCAAGGCTTATTTTCCCCGATTTTGATTAATTAGTGTATTTTTCCTTTTATAGTTCTGCTAGGAAATGTTCTAGCTGTAGAAAGAAATGCAAACAACAGAACAAAACCAAATTTAGCCCTTTCCTTTGCCTTTATCTACTCAGTAAATTAAAGACGGAGCTTTAGCTGACAGAACCCTTGCCCTACTGCATCCCTCATATTTTTGTTTATTGTACTGGGAATTGACCCAGAGCCTTCACAATGAGCTACATCCCTAGTGTTTTTTTTTGGAGACAGGGTCTTGCTAAATTGCTCAGGCTGGGCTTGAATTTAGAATTCTTCCGCTTAGGCCTCCCAGGTCCTGGGATTCCAGGCATGTTTTATATCCCTCATACTTTTAAATAGTTCTCGATATTTAAAATGGTAATTAAAAATAGAGCTTCTGGAATCTCTTGTGAAGTTGGAAGGATCAGCAATAATAGGGTGCACATCCCTCCGTGCTCAGTGGGACTGAGACACCTTTCCTCTCAGCTTCAGCGCAGGCCTGTTATCTTCCTAGCTCTTAAATTGCTGGAATTTGTGACTCTGGTAAAAGAGAAGGTCAAAATTGCACTTCTGCCTAAAGATACCCAGTTCTATAGTCATGAGGCCTCTGAGCAATTAGTTCTAAAAATCCTAATCTTGTGCCGCCACCTGCCTCGCAAGCGCAAGGTCCTGAGTTCAATCCTGATAGCAAAAAAATAAAAAACCCTAATCTTGCAATGGCTGTAGATAATGTCCCTTGGCCAGGACCTGCTCTCAACCTCCAGACCAAAATGCAGTTAATAATCTGAAGGCCAAGAAGGGGAGAAGGGAAGGACAACCTAGCACCCAAAGCAAGTCCAAGCACCAGCAAATACCCCTGCCCAAGCCATCACACTTAAACATGGAAGCAGGTCAAGAAAGAGTCCAACAGAGAGGTTCAGCCTCACATTATTGGAAAGTGAGGTACAAAGATTTCTCCCTGGTCAGAGTCTCACCAGTATTACCCTTAGCCATAAATCGAAACCACTGATCTGCACAGAGAGAGAGGAGGAAGCTAAAGTAAAAAGTGATGCTTGCCAGCTCTGTGTATCCTCCACCACCGGTGTGCTAGAAGGAATCCTTACCCTCGAGTGAACATTTGGAAATTTAGTGATATTATTCTTCTTTAAGGCTAAACAGAAAAAAACAAAAACACAAAATGATGGTTAAGTAAAAATGGGATGAAAATGGAAAGCATCTCAACTTAGTGCTTATTAACATTCCTGGGCACGTTAGCCAACAGAGGAGGAGAACAGCGGGAGACCATCTCTACAAGTAGTGTTAAGACAGAACAAGGGAAAATGAGTGTGTCTGTCCACCCAGCTCTGCCCACCCAGTTCCAAGCTGCTTTGAAGATTGGCTCCAGAAAGACAGACAGTGCAGCAGCAAAACTGACAGCAAACACAGCCCGAGCAGATGACAGTTTCCAGCCTGTTAAGAAGCACTGATGGGTAAGTAGGCAGTGACACAACACACCTTCTGAGGTCTTCAAAGACAGAAGGACATACATAGGTATCACTCATAGAATAGTTACACCACAGGATAAAACACGTTACCCAGTTCCATGTCAACCTCAGCACTGAGGTCAATCAATGGTTACTTCCAATGGGCGTATGTTCTTCCCTTGTCTCTTTTCTAATCAACTGGGCATCCAGAGACATTTGCTTCTTTTTAAGCATCAAGAACCCAGGAAGTTAACTTCTTGGAAAAAATTGATCATTTTTTTGAATTCTAAGAAAAGCGGCATTTTCCAATGATAGGTATTTGCCTTTAGTCTTTCTGGTGGTGCTCTCCTGACCAAGGAAGCAGGTCCAGATATGATCTCGTTCTAAAAGAAATACCCTGGTTTGACATGGAACAGAGCCACTGTGAAGGGGTATGAACAAGATGGTGGGGAGCTTATATGCCTCTGTTTTCACTCTCTGCCTTCCAGCTTGGGCGTGACAGTGAACAGAGGTGACCTGCCAAGGGTGGGGTGTCGTGAGGCTATGAATTGCCAATAGCAGCATAAACAGGCTTCGAGGTTGGAAGTGCTCCTAGCACTAAGTTCTTACTGTGAGTTCCATCCCACTGTGAACTACCTGATTCATAGAAAAGAAAGGCCTGATTTGCAGCTATGCCTGGTTTAATTCCTTCTGCAAATCATCTTACAGCTTTAGAGCCCTTTTTCTTTCTGAGCACTTTTGTATGACAGGTCATTTTACTCTCCAAGTGTATTAAAGGGTGAATATTAACCTATTAGAGTACAGTAAAACTATTAACTTAAATAGTTACTGTTACTATCATGTTTCCAAAGACATCAGCCCAAAAATCTTGTAAGCCATCTACTTGCTTTCCAACTGTGATTCTCAAAGGAGTACTGTAGTCAAGACTTTTGTGAAAATGTCTGCAAGCAATTCTATAAACTGTCACACACACCCAGACCAACACAGCAATGTGGAGATGTGCATGTCCTGAAAGCTGACAGTGAGGGAATGGTAATGACTGATATGTAAAACCATGCAGCATGAGGGACAACACAAATCATAACATGATGGAGATGGCGCTTCCATGCTAGCACGGTGGTTGGCCCTGGAAGACACACGGAGAGGGACATAGAGGTGACAAAACCCAAAAAAACAAAAAAATCTGTAGCAACCTTTTAAGAGCACCAGGTGAGAAAGAGTAATAGTTTAATAATGGTACTCCTCAGTGAGCACGGGTTCGCAGAAAAACCGAGAGCCACGCTTGGCGGTGCGAGCAGTAAAGGGCACAGTCTTCAGCACTGCATGGGAAATGACAGCCAGACAACACAAACAGAAGACAGTCAGAGGCCACAGTCTCCTCATTAGTATATGGTTAGTGCTTTGTTAATCATACCTGGGGGTGGGGCAGGGGAAGTTGGAGGAAAAGGGGAAAGGAGGAAGTATACAAGTTAGTGTGGGGCTTAGGGGTGGGGCAGCAAAGGGAAACTATTTCAAGGAGAATAAAAATGGTTCTATAAGTAGATACACATTCAGCTCTTCCGGTAGACTGAAGAGTCAGGTCAGGCAAATAAATGTACACAGGGATAGTGGACATGCAGATGGGAAAGGGACATCGAGCTCTCAACGCGCAACACAGGAGCCTTTCCTGTCTACCAGTGAATCTTAGTGTGGCACTGAGACGAAGGGGAGCTTTCCAAGGAAGGAGATCTGTTCCTGATTTTGCTCAGATTGGAGCTTCTCCCCCAGAGGGAGGAGGCAAGGAGGCAGGCTGGACAATGGGGCTAGACCTGGGGCCACACACCAGCCACTGCGTGGTGCACGCTGGGACCCTGGTGAGCCATGTGCACCCCATTGGCAGAGAACGATACTGGTGTTGGCCACTCACCTATTCACTCAGAATTAAGGCTGCTTTCAGCTAGACAAGGGGTTCTTTAGTGACCTTTTTTCTAAGAAAATCTAATATCTATCTCTCTCATTCTCTCTCCCTACCTCCCCTTAATTTCTCTAGATCTGAGCTGGTGAAAACTTGTGTGGATTTGGCAGTTTGGGATCCCCACTTACAATTTTGACCAAGCTAACACAAGAAATAAAAGTCTAGGAATTATATTTTTAAAAGGTTAGGAAACTGGGGAAATGTGAATAACAACTAAATATTTGATAGTAATAAACTGCTAATTGTGGGTGGTTGATAATGATACTGTGGGTATATTTTTGTTTCTTTCTCTTAAGAGTCCTCATGTTTTTAATGTATTCAAATATTTCCAAATGAAATTATAGTTTTGGCTGTGCTTCAAAAAATCCCAGGGCTGAAACAGGGTGGTCAGAGCAGACCTGTAACAAAACTGCCCATGACTGACAATTATTAAAATGAGTCAGGGTTACATGGAAACTCATCATACTATTCTCGACACATCAGCATATTTTTGAACCTCAGTATAACAAAAAGATTTATAAGCATCTTAGAAGCTAATAAACACCATTCATGTACTTGAGGCATGAAAGAAAAGGTGCTTGCCTGCCCAAGTTATCATCCTGGTTAAGAGGAAGCATGAAATCCAAGACTGGTTCAAGCAGAAGGTATTAAGCTAAAATTTAATCAGACAAGAATCACGCTGGGTGAGATACGATTCCTGATAGAACGACTGTCCATCATAGGCTAAATGTCTCATTCACATTAAGGTACCAGCTTGTTTTCCTTTTAGCTTGAATGAGTAAAGAGGCTTTTTAACGAGCATGCTGGAAAAGCCTGCATGGCTGTGGCTAGCACAGAGTTGAAGGGTTTTGTCCACAGTATTTATTACGCAGGCAAGTGGGTATGACTGGTCACAAGGAAGAAAATGGAGCATCATGACCAGTGGAAAACAGTAGGAGGAGGAACTCTGTGGAAACTACACAGTTCCAGTGATAGGGAGAAATCAGACTTTTCAGTGTTAGGGCAACAGACATGCTACTATAAATATACTGCAAACTACAGCATGTATTCTCTGTGTAATTCTGGATCTGAATAAAGTCAAATAAAGAACTTGCCAACCCTGGTCAAAAGAAGTGAGAAAATCTGTTTGTGGCCCAGTATAGTGAGGTGAATAGAATCTTCATGAGTCACAGACAGGAAATATCCTTTACCTGTGATAATATCTTCAATGGCTCCATCTTTTCCCTCATACACATGTCTATTATCTTTAACTTGTCGTCGTCTTAACTCTGCAATTAACTCTTGCTGCTGTCTCTTTGATTTATGAGAAGGAGACTGAGAAGAAAGAAGAGCAGAGGTTCGTGAGGTTGCACCCACCCAGAGTTTAAGAAAATCTAAAATGTACCTGGGCTTTGTATTACTTTAACAAGTGGCCACTGGTGAAAGCACATTCAGCACCATCCCAACATTCTGCTCAAATGCAGAATAACTCAGGAAACTTCTGAGAAGACAACAGAAACTTATCCAACAACACTTAAAAGCCCACCAGGCAGCAATGGGATAGCTGGATCCTGTAGCCACCGAAGCAGCTGGTACAACCACAGGCTTATAGAACTTTGTAGCAAAGGCCTGCCACCCTTTATGATCTTCACCTGTGACACGGTGCTCCATGAAATGCTTCCTCCCAATCCTCCAGGCAAAGCCCTCATACCACCAAGGTAAGTGCCCATTGGGCAGCACCACAGAGCCTTCCCTGGACGCTAAGCCCTCCAGTCACTGGGTTACCTGGTCTGGCCTCTGTATACCCAACTAAGATTTCTATAAACTTGGAAATGCTGTCCAAACACACTCTAAGCTCATTCCGGAGGTTACTGAATGAAGCAATGAGTGAACAAACCTCCCTGTGCAAACTGGCTTGTTCCCCACCTCTGAGGCTTACCTCACCTGGGGCCATCTCCAGAGCCTGGCACTTCTTACCTTTGGGTCCTGCTGCTCCAACAGAGCTTCTTGCTCCAGGAGTTTCTCCATGAGAGCTTGTTCCTGCTTTTTCCTCAGCTCATTTTCTTCTTCTGCTTGCTAGGTAAATCAAAAAAGCCAGTAAGATCACGTCAAAGGAAATGACAGTCAGGATTTTGAAGAACCATTCTTTAAGAATCCACAGTGAGTTGGGAACTGGAGGAAATGGAGGGGAGAAGGGATGCATTCCATGACCACATCTCACTGATTCTAGGTCTCACTGTCTGGCTCTCAGCAAAAGTCATCAGTAGAGATTCACTTCACCCAAAGGCCTGTCCTCATCCTCCTCTCCCTGCTCTAACAGACCTGGTGGGGACCTACACCCCACTGTGCACTGTGCACAGTTACTTTCATGTGAGTTTGTTTTGTTTCCAGAATATGTCCACCTAACCTAAGCTTCTCCAAAAGCAGGACTCGAGATTCCTCTGCCTTTTGCCCACTGTAGAGAGAAAACCTCACTACCTTGGGCTTTTCTTTCACTTCAGGACCTTAGCAGAGTAGTGCTCTTGGACGCTCCCCACTGCTCACTCCCTTCAGCCCATTGGACACTCTTTTTTTTTTTTGTACCCGGGATCGAACTCGGGTCCTTGCACTTGCGCAGCAGGCAGCAAAACCACTGAGCTAAATCCCCGGCCCTGGACACTGTTTCTTAAAGCCAGGCCCCTTGAGCAGACTTCTCACTGTCAAGCTGTGAACTGAAGGATAAGTTAGCTATCCAATTTAGGATGGAAGTTACCACATCTCCTGCCCAGCGTTTATCAGTAATAAAGTATTATATTTTGGCCTCTGGTGTTTTTGTGATAACTTTTCATTTATAGTTAAGAAGGGAAAAAGGGGTTGATGTCCTAAAACCTCAATCTCTGCACATACAGTTCAAAGGTCAGAGCTGGGCTGCAGGTTGTTTAGCCCATGTAGGGTACGGACATTCCCTAATGTCACCATGTGACGAGTGCCTCAACAAGCCCCCTAGGAAAATCATTAACGGCAATTCAAAGACAGGCCATGAGCAAGACACCCCACACACCACCAAGGACAGCTTCTCTCTTCCTCTGTTTGACACCACAGCAGCCACTTTGTGTTTGTCACACACATCTTATCTCTTTTAACTTTAGACTTACATGTTTTATGTGAAGAAATCAGATCACTGACAAGAGCCACCTTGGTCCAGCTCTGCAGCTCTGCAGCACTCCGGCTGCAATTCTCTTGAGTGCAGACAAGCAGGAGCCAACAGGTGGTGACCAGCGACCTCCTTCCTCAGTTCCCTTGTCTTGGGCATGGAGTCTACACTGAGTACTCACCACCAAGGACACTTGCCTTCTGTTAGCACTGTTATATCCCTACTACTTTAAGCCATGCTGAAAGGAGATGGGTAAATATTTGACCTTCTGAATGAAAGGCCCAAAGATGATTCTCCAAAGTCATCAGCCTCTACTGCTATTAGAGAAATGCCCCTCACATTTTCAATAAGAATTTTCTACAAACCGGACATAACCCTCCTACACTCTTTTCCCACCTCCACTGAACACTTCTCCTTGTCCCACTAACACCACCAGTGCTATACATCGAGAATCCCCGAGAATACGTTGGCCCTCTGTATCGATGGGTTCTACATCCATAAATTCATCTCAACATGGATCAGAAAAACTCCATCTGTACTAACATGTACAGGCTTTTCTTTGTCCTTATTCCCTAAACAATACAGTATCACAAGTATTCACACAGCACTTACACTGCATCAGGTATTACAGCAATCTAGAGATGATTTAGTATACAGGAAGATACGTGTAGGTTCTACACAAACCCTACCATTTCACAGAAGGGACTTGAGCATCCTCAGATTCTGGTATCCATGGGCGTCCTGGAACCAAACTTGCAGATACTGAGGGACAGTTCCATGGATTGCAATGTTTCCTGAGTGGGCTAAAATTATCTAACACCTTCCTTTATGATTTTTTCTCAAAAGACAAATTCTTTGAACACATGACTCTTTGGACCACATTCTTTTTCAAGACGATGGCCCTGGATTATGCCCAAGAGAGCCTCTTATTTAGAGGAAGGGCTGCATGGGTCAACAGTCAACAACTGGGCACCAACGGTCTTGGAGCATCTCACTTGCCCCAAGGAAACACCCAAGAGCTTTTGCTATCTGGCTGAGACCCAGGCTTAGCTCATGGCCTAAGGCTTCCAGGAGCCATCTGGCTCCACAGCAACTTCTGTCTCTCACTGACCACCCAGACCTGTGGCCCATGGGGCGGGACGCCTCTCCAGGGCAGTTCACATTCAGGTACACCTGACTGAGGGCACCTGCTTGAGAAATGGGGAGGAAGACTTAAAAGACACCCTCCTGTTTACCTTATAGGCTTTCACAAATCGGACAAAGACCGGAAAGAAGACAGAGGGTGGTGTTGTCTTGGGGTTTTCTCCAAAATACTTCACCACATCATCAAAGGCATCCTGTGAAAAAGCAAATTTCTTTTCAATGTCATTAATTCTAGTATTCAAACTGAATGCACTGAAGGAGGGGACTATACATAGCTGAAGCAGAGCAGCGGCCAGAGAGAGGAGCTCCTACACCTCTTGTGCATGTGGCCTCTTGTCTCCTCCAATGGCTTGGCAAAGGCAACCCTAAATGTGCAATAGTGGGGTACAGGAATCGCTCACCCCTTCATCCTGCCACCACTTCTATTCCCTTTCCCCTGTGTACACACTAACCGAAGCTATTTGTTCCAAGGACTTCCTAAGGCCACGGCAGAACTCTTTAAAACCCACAAGGTCAGAAGGGATCTTAGAAGTCTCTCTAACTCTAGATCCCAACCCCTTGCCTCACACTCCTTACGATATCCTCACAAAGGGGACAATCTGTCTCTGAATTCTTCTGTGATGCAAGACAGCCTCAAACCAGATGCCAGTCCACTAGGTCTGTTCAGTCCCCAGTGCTATACAGCTCCCCATTAATGACAAAGTACAGTTAACTCTGCTTTGCAGGTTTGCCTACCAGTGACCCCCAGTGTGGTGTAGAACTGTGAGGTCAAGATCTACTGAAACTTCATCCACAAGGACCACTGCTTGGCAGAGCACAGGCACACATGTCACTTGACCTGAACATGGAACCCATGCTGGAGGGAGTCCAGCAGCAGAAGGAAAGGAGAAAGAGCAGAAAAGGACTACAGAGGAGGATAAAGACCCAAATTAGGAAAGGCCAATGAAGAGGACAGGGTAAAGAGGGGAGGGAGATGAAAGTGAGTTAAGATATGTTAGGTGCAGGCACCAATTCCCCATGAGGAATGTAATCATTACATACTGCAAATATGTTAAAAGAAAAAGGAAAGAAAAGGATAATGAGCAGGGCAAGGGTGCTTCCAAGGGCTAGAAAGATAGCCTGCAATTATCATTAGCTACATAAGCCACAGCAAGCACTTTCCCAGCTACCTGTGCAATCTTGGCATCATCCTGTAGCTTCTTCAGCTTGCCCTCATTGTGGAGGATGAAGTCCTTCAGCAGCACATTGTGGTCATGCATGGTGTATTCCCTCTTGGTCAAGTCCATGCCCCTCTGCAGTTCCTTGACATCTAACAGAACATTCTCCAGAGAGACTGGCATAGAGAAAGCAATGTCTCAGTAATCTTCTACAGAGAGAGGCAAAACTGCAGTGCACCTGGCTGCTAAGTCAAGTTCTCAGATTCTTGGGCATACTTGGAGCCTGGTACCTAGTTCCCAACTTTCACTGAAGAGATCCTTTAATATGAATAATTTAGAAAGTACAACTACTGAGCACTACAGTAAATTCTTTATATACACTAATTCAGCTGCATCATTAACCCATTTTGCCAATGAAGACAAGTGGCATAAAGAGGTTCTGTAGTGTGCCCTGGGTCACATGGCTAGTAGATGGCAGAGGAGTTCAGGCAATAATGATGGAATCCAAATCCAGTGCAATGCACAGCTATTCATTTCTCTCCCAGGAAGCAGCCTATTGGCTGGCCTGCAGGCTCAGAAGTGTCCGGGACGAGCACAAGGTCTTTCATTCTCTAGTACATTTCTTTTGACTCTTTTGCATTTCTGTGGCTTTCCAGCAGGGGGCGGCAGTGCGTTGAATTTTAGTTGTATTGACCTCTAAGACTCAAAGGAACCCTGGGTAACTTCTTTCTCCTTAACCCTTCCTTACTCCAAAATGGTTTGACAGGAACCTTTCCATCTGCAGTATGGCCTCTGCTCATAGCAGACACACCTCTAATCCTCCCGAGCCAGCTTTCCAAAGGTTGGTCCCACTTCTGGTTCTTTTGCTGCTTAGCTTAGCTCTGTACATGGATAAATTACAATAATGAGTGCATTTCCCTCTCATTCTTTCATTCCCCAATACTTCTGACAGTGCCAAGTACACAGATAAAGGAGGAAAGAACACATGAGTAAAGGTATGAAGAACCTAGGCTGGCCCACCAAGAACGAACACAGAACACTGGCCAGAGAGCAGTCTACTCTCCATTTTTCTCACCGCTTTTTCCAGAATGATACTTTTTGGGCCAAACAAAATGTACTCCTACTGCCTGAGTGCCTAATCATTGCCTGAGTGAGCCCTAAGCCCTCAGTGGGTCAGGCTAGCCCGTTCTTTAGTCACAAAATCATTTCTACCTGATTCTCAATCTCCATGGCATCTATCCCAGCAATAGCATAACATTTCATTTATTTATTTGCACATTCATTTATTCTCACCATCCAATCTTCCAGGGGGGTAAATGAATTATTTAAAAAGTTTTCAGAATTGTAAAGTTTGCAATGGACATGCAAATTGTTACAGTAAAATTTGATAAAACTTGTAAGAGAGGGTAATGCATAATGCTCTTTGATACGAACACAGAAGCAACAGCCATTTAGCCTCGCTGAGGAATAAAGGGCCTCACCCTAAAAGATTCAGAAAGTCTAATGTAGGCCTCAGGATTCTAAATTTACAATCAACACTCGTTGTCATGCTTCAAGATCACAAATGGAAAATCAGAGCCTGTAATTCCAACATCAATTTGCATACCCCCATCCCTTTTTCAAACTTAACACTCTTTTGAGAGGACATGGTGCATTAGATGCTAGATACCATATGAAAAACAAGAACTCTTGGGTTCCAGTCCTGTTTCTATCGCTTTCTACCCATGAATATCCTTGGGCAAGACAGTCTCTAAAAATGTCAATTCTTCACCTATTATGTGGTTATTGTTACCCTGCACATCCCTGCTATCTTGCAGTCACTGATGATTTGAAGGGAAACATAAAATGCCACAGCAAAGTAACAATCAAGAAGTACAGGTAATTTAGTGGTGAGGCAATGGCATAATATTTAGAGCTGCCACATCTGAGCAAGTGGGATAGCAAGAAATTAAACTGAAAGTGTTTGTAGAGGGTTAACTCTCAGATTCTCATCTCATACAATGGCAACAGAACAAAAAGGGCAATGAATGGACAGGGTAGGTACACCAGTCCCAAGGACTTGGATCTTCACAGTGAAGACATGGAGAGAGATCAGCCTCGTGCCAACATTACAGCTGCTCTTGGGAGGGGTAGCACAGTGGCCATGTGTTGCAGCTCAGAGCTTCTGACTTTGTGGTCCTACCTTTTAAAGGTGTTCTGAAGAGTGTGTGTTTAAGCAGGGAATGGTCCCCTCATAATTTAAAGCATTAAATATTCAAGAGTAATGTTAAGAGCTGAAATTATGTACCTGCAGCAGCTTTTTCCACATAATGAAGCTCATTATGAAACAGGGACACTTGGTGATATTTTTCCTTGACAACATTTGATATATAGTGCAGTAGCGTTTGCTTTCGGTCTGTCGACTTTGTGTCCAAGAGCTGAAACCAAAAGGGGGCATGGGTTAGGCGCAAGAGTGAGGATGTGGGGAAAGTTGCTCACCAGGTGACTCCCTGCCAGAGTAAGTAGAGTGAGGAGTCGAGTGCAATGGCCCAACAGGCTGGCAAAAGAACATCCCCAGGAGAGATTCAGATTTAGCATACTCTTTGGTGAGCCAGCTCACTGCTGTTTACCTGACTTCAGGACTTTCTGATCAACTGGGGTAAATGCTAATGCTAGCACTGACTCTAAGCACCCAAGCATGGTTCGGATTTTGCCCTGCTTACACAAACTACCCACTCTTGCACCTGCCATCCCACCTCCCGGGGTGTAGAGCAAGATGACTCCAGCGTTAGAGCTCCTCATAAGGAACAACTGGAGCAAAAACAAAGGGGAGCCACCAATGCATGCAGGTGCCCCGACACCACAAGGCTTCCACACTGCGGTCTTCCCACTTAGCTCAGCAGCACTCTTCTTCCTTGGCTTCTGAAGGCCGAAAATAGAGCTGCCCCTCCGATCAGCACGTTCCACATCTGCACTCTCAACCACAACTACTTGTGAATCATTTCCATTGTATTAAGTATTGTGAGTAATCCAGAGATGATTTAAAGTACAGGGGAGAATCGGTTCTATCCACTGCAGATAAGGGACTTGAGTGTCTGAGGATTTTAGCATGCCTGGGGTGGTGGAGCCCACCCTCCACAGAGACCGAGGGACCAGCGTGTGTGGCATTCACCATGGTCCTGCAGGGGAGGCAGAACAGTAACTGACTGGATGCTCTGTTATACGACTATGTCCCCCTGCTCTGGGGATTTAGCCATTGGCCCTATTCCTCACAGGGAAGCCATATTAGGCCTGTACAGCCTGAACAGAGTTCCACAAAGGATTTTCTCTTGTCCTGTTCATATGGATCAAGTGACTCCAAAAAAAGAGATCACCTTTGTTTGTGCAGGGAAAAAAAATTAAGACAACACAGAAAAGTATAAAAAAATTTTTAAACATTCCTTAATTCCATCTAACTTATTAAACACTTACCAGTCCAATTATTTAAATACAGATGACCAAAAACTGCGTAGTTCATTAATTTTTATAATATAACAGGAAATATAAAAACAACAATGTTATCAAATAAATATTAGAACTGACTGGTGGAAACGAGACCTGCCCAAGGGAAACTCAGGACAGTCAGTACACAGACAAACATTCCACCCGGGTGACGCCTGGGGAAGCTGTTCCACGGGGCACACTTTAGTCTATTCCCATTCAGTCTATTTTCCTGCATGTTTTATTCAGCTGATATTAGACTACACCTGTAATTTCGACTTCTCTTTCTCTTCTACACATGAAATTATATATTTCTCTGAAAACACAAGTATTTTAGCAGTATTTAAACAACAACTCATTACTTTTGTTTTTGGGTTTGTGTTTTGGTTTTTTGAGACAAGGTCTTGCTATGTAGTTCAGGCTGGCCTTGTATTGGTGGGCAATCCCCTTGTCTCCGCTCCTAAGTGCTGAGATTATAGGCATGGGCCACAACACTGGGCTAGATCACTGTATTAACTGTTATTCCAACATAATCATTATTGGAAGTCCAACAATGGACTTTTAGATTATTACTAATTATTTATAATCATAAATAAAATACAACATTCATAATTCAGACTTCTGAGGAAAGAGTCCTAGAAATAGAAATATTGAGGGAAAGGGTCTGAGTATTTCTAAGGTTTTAAATCCTCACGGTCCAAGGGTGTTCCAGAAAATTTGTACCAATTGATCTTATCACTTGCAGAGAATCTTCACTAAAATATCCCCCTCCGCCCCAACAGCAGATTCTCCTGCTCCAGGACTTAATCTCTGCCAGCTGTCTGTCCTTCACAGCACTCTCAAATTCCTTTGAGTTCACTCACCAGATCTAAACTCTGAAGTTTAAATCCATAAACTGCTCCTCGTTTACTGCTATTCATATAGTTTCCAAGGGCCAGAATGATCTGCAAGAGAGAGAGAAAAGCCCATCAGGGCAGCTCCGCAGGCGCTGGTCAGCAGCTGACAGTCAGCTCTCCACACACATAAACAAGGAAAATTTCACTTGCCTCCAGGATTTTCTTGAGTTTTTGGGATGACTTTATAGAGACAGATGCTGCTATAATTGCATGCAGTTGCTAAATTCCAATCAAAGGAAGGAAGGAGGGGGGAAAAAAAGATATGTTAAAAATAGGAAACTAATTGAAAACTAAAAACTAACAAAGAACAACAGACCCACATTTAGACCCTTAAGTCCTTTTTTAGTTATTTTTTATTTTTCAGTACTGGGAATTGAACTCAGGACTGTGTGTTTGCCAGGTAGGTGGAGTGTGCTGAGGTACATCCCTGGCTAGAACCTGAAGTCTTAATAATGACATTCTATTTTCCCAAGCATAACAAACTGAGTTGTCCAACCAAGTCTTAGGTAACCACATCGTTACATGCAAGCCCTTCTCTAAAATTCTTCACCATAACAAGTAACATAGGAACTTGTTTATCACAAAATCTGCCACAATCAAAAACCAGTAAGGCTCAGAGCCAGAATTGAACAGCTTCTTCTGGAAGAACTTAGTCCCCAGCCTACCACTTCTCATCTTACACAATTTGTGCTTTCAAATAAATGGAGTTGTCCAAGAAAGGGGCGGGGGGGAACATGTGAAGGCAAATGGACACAACACTCTCCAGAAGTTCTCAGGACATGTGCTGAGCAGACATGTTCAATAAGCACTGACTGTCTGCTTACCGTAAGCAGCAACTAAAAAGTTAACTTAGAACAGAACTGGGAACAAACTGAAACGTTCAGCAAATTAACACAAGAAATGAGAGAGAGTGTGCTATTATGTGTAGGTCACCACAGACCACTGTAACAAACTTCCAAGAGAAATGCCGAATTCAATGCTTCCAATGAAAGCATATAGATACAGAAACTAAAGATACAGAACTAGAAAGATACAGAAATACAGTCACATTTTTAGTCACACCAATCCAGCCAGAAGACTACTATCTTCAGGAAACATTGGATGTGTCAAGAAAATGGTTTTCCTTGTTCTCTCTACAGAAGTGTCTGTTGAAATCCTGAAGACATCTACGGTCCCAGAAAATTCTTTGGAGAATACCAATATGGAACAGGAAAATTTACTACTTTTCAGTTTACTTTGCAGACTCAATGTGAAAATGATAGCTGAAATAAAAAATGTAATCTAGAAAGTTCATAGAAGCAATTTAGGGCCCATTACACCAAATACAATTCTGGGAGATTTTTTTTTTAAATGATGATGTCTTTGGACCCCTCCCCCGCCACTGCTGGTCACTTACAGGAGTCAGCATCTGAATGCTTTCAGCAAAGTTCCCAATGAAGGCCATGATGGTCATCTTCTGCATGAGCCTCTCGATCTTACTAAACTGCATCATGAACCGGTCTTCATCAGACAAGTTCTCCAGGGGCTTCCTTTCCCGCTCATAGAGCCGAAGGACTTTCACCTCATTTTCAGTTGGCAAGAACCTCATCAAGCATTCTACAAAGTCTACAGGCAGTGTCTTCAGGTCAAATCTGAAGACAACGTGGACACGTTAGCGTTAGAGAGAAAGCCACCCTTCTGACTACTCCCATCCAATCCAGTGCATCTGCTACCAAGTCAACAAGTCTCAGGGCCGGGGATTTAGCTCGGTGGTTTTGTCGCCTGCTGCACAAGCGCAAGGACCAGAGTTCGATCCCCGGTACCAAAAAAAAAAACAAACAAGTCTCACATTCCTACAGCTGTACCAGGAGGCTCCACCCTGGGAGTGCGTCCTGACTAGGCATTAGGACTCAGGATTGGTCCTTCCTAACAACTCGAACCTTAATGTAGCTGCACCCCTTGGTTTTCCAGGCTATTATCTTATAGTATTTTTGGTACCGGGGATCGAACTTGAGTCCTTGCGCATGCGCAGCAGGCAGTGAAACCACTGAGCTAAATCCCCGGCCCTTACTATCTTATAGTTTTGGGGCAGCTCTGAACCTCTCCAAATCGAGAGTAAATCACAACAGGAGAAAGCAGAAGAAAGGTTGAAAAATCTAATGGTTAAGTGGTTCAAGAACATGGTTTTGAGCCACTGGGAAGTACTGCCAATCAAGATTAGTCTGTATGCACAATTACAGAATATATGGCAACTTTTGTGAAACATTTCAATTAAACCAAAAGTCAAAGATTAATCTTTGTTTGGCAAAATAACAGAATTATACTTAAATCATCATGACAAACAAGGTATATCAAGATCAACATGTTTCTGCCAGCTTGAACAACCAGTGGTACATACACAGCACTCCCATCGGACGGCTCGTACCACTGGTGGTTGAAATGGTACAGTAATACATGGGACAGTTCTGCATGTACCACTGGGGGTAAAAGCTGTCCAGCAGCGAGATGTATAAATTATGGCCCTGTCGTGAATGTGTTAAAACCAGACTGCCTATCAGGTTTCAATATAAGAAATCATAACGAACTGTAGGAGGCGCTATACTATTAGATTATGACCCTGGCCAAAGACCAAATCAGAGCAAAGGATTTCTTAGGGTCATAAATTCCTGAATGAGTCTCTAACCAAAATTTACAAAATAGCAATTTATGAATAAGTACTTTTTAAAACATTTAATAACATACTTATCACCATGTCCATAAGATCCTTTTTATAAATATATATAAAGCCAATGCCTTCTTTGCACTTCAAGAATTTAAAAACAAAATGAACTTTGTTTAAAGTGTCCTGGAAGTACTAAGAGCAACAATATTCACATTACTATTGTTATGAATTAAAATATGCATCTGTATCATATTTGCATCTGGCATTGAATTATATCATTCCACAAATGCCATCAAATTTGTATTCAATAAATCTGGATAAAATTCCACATACTCCAGAGAAAACTGAAATGTCTCCCTTTTCTTAACATCTACCACTCTCAGCTCAACTTTCCTTTTATGTAAGCATTGCTGTAGGCCTATATAAAAGAGCAGACCAAGACAATAAAGGATGTCACAATCCCGATGTTATTCCTCCAAAATGATTAATTATTCAAATACAGCACTACAGCAGCAACTTCCAGTTCACTTTTATCAGTGTTGGCATCTTATTCAACTCTGAAATGGCACCATGTAATAAGGAGAATCTCAGAAGTATAGAAGTCTTTTACATCAGCTCTTGCCCCACTATTAAATTTTTTATCTACTAATTCATAATTTTCTTATTTTCATCACTATTCTAACCTTACTATAATATAATTTTCCAGAACGCCCTGAACTTACACATGAATAGCTTTACATATCTCATCGGCAGTCTTTCCAGCTTTCCTTAAAGTTATGGCAAGATTTTTGGCTCTATTTGCTTCTAGTAATGTCACTTTGCTTGATCCTTTCTGTGTCATCTTCTGCTTGCTTGAAGAAAGATCAATGGCAGGGCCTTGGGCTTTTGTCTTGAATATTTCTTCAAATTCATCCACATTTAAATCCTAGGGTGGAGAGGAATTGACATTACAAGCTGTATTCTACTTAAAGATTAAACCCTAAAACCACCATTTAAGCAGATAAAGAAAAAATCTTTTTCTATTAAGTACTTCTCTTTGGCCATTCTTGCTATTTTTGTTCCTGTTTTGGTCAGGGTGCAAAACTATTAACACATATACCAAAGGGAATGTCCTAAGTATAACGCTGATTCCAACCAACCAATTCAGCTGTCTCCAATAACCAGCTGTATAGACAGCCACCACCCTAAAACTATTAAACAAGACGGCGAGTGTCAAAATTGAGTCCTTAATCAACACTGTTCAGAAAAGGCTTCTTATAAAGGATGAGATTGTCAGACACATCTTTTGTGGCATATATTGACACCCAAAACTATTCTATTTTAATATTTTAAACACAGTTTTCGATCTGCCTTATAGTGACCAATTTTATTTTCTGTATAAATCTGTTTATTCTTTATATTAAGGCACTTAAAACACTAGCACTATGCTAGTGAAACTTGCAGGTTAACAGAGCACCCATTTTGACTTTGTTGCACAAAGACCCCCCCAGCTTGGAACTCTTGGAAAGATACCTCCAGAATTCGCTCATCATCAATTTCATTGAAGACTGTGCCATTGATCTGATTGGGCTTCAGAGCAACCCAGTTAAACACTGGCATTCTGAACTTCGTCTTGATTGGCTTTTTAATTTTCACAGCTAAGGATATCAAAGAGAATGAAATTAAGATCCCTCCAAGATGCCACAATCCTCAAGAACAATCAAACAAGCTGAGCGTGGTGGTGCAGGTCTATAGTCCCAGCATTCGGGAGGCTGAGGCAGGAGGATCGCTGTGAGTTCAAGGCTAGCCTAGGCTACATAGTTCAAGGCCAGCCTGAAGTACATAGCGAGACTCTGTCTCAAAAAAAAAACCAAAAACCAACAATCAGACAACAGTCCTTACAGGCGACACTTTTTAACACTGGAGGAAGGTGGGCAAGAGGCACCCAAGTGTATTTTAATATAGAAAACATTACATATGGACTTGACCAGAGCCATTCAAGGCCCTCATTTGGTTGACTGAACACACCTTTATGTTAAAAGCTAAGGGTCAGGGTTTTGTTTTGTTTGGTTGGTTTTTTTATGCAGGCAAATGGACTGCTACTTTATAGTTACCATATTGATACAATGCTTAACACAAAATGTTGGAAAGCAAAAAATTATAACTAATGTTATGAGACAGCAGAGAGGGCAAATAATATCAGATGTTGACATCCTAAATTCTTGATTCTAGAACACACTTACAAACAAACCTTAACAAATGACCAGCGATCGTGGACAGTGTCTGCTGAAATCACCAGAAATGGGACATCAAGAAAGGTACTGTTCAGCCAGGGCAACACATGCCTGTGGGTGACTTCAATAATGGAGATTATACTGGCTGCTAAGACATCTCATGATAAACAAGATGGAAGGGGTACGAAAAAGTCAAGAAATTGCACTGCTTCTCAGGAATGCTAGTAGTCCCTCTTCCTCTTTTTAGAAAGCAAGTGATCCCCAGGAATCAGCTGTGTTCAACTAGGAGGTATCAATGAATACAGTAAAAATACTGAAAACCTCTTAATGCAGAGGATGCCATGTTTTAGGAGCCCAGAAGGAATGCCAGCTCCTCTCACTTTCAGGAAAGGTGCTAAAAAAAGGTAAGTCGCTTCAAATTCGATGCATTAATTACACACCATAAAGAAGTTGTCCCAAGCCACTTAGCTATGCACATTCATTTTCACCATGTAGCCCATCATTTGCCATCAGTAGCAAGGAAGGGAGAAGAACTTTAGCCCTTTAGCTCAGAACAAAATAAAAGCAACATACACTTGTGCTCTTACCTGGCTGGCTGCCTGCCTGCCTCAGTGGCATTTACTGAAACAGGAAGACAGATGGTGCCTCTCATTCCTCCAGAGTTACAAAGGCCAGAGAAAGAGCAGGAATGTCATCTGATAAATCCACACAAGAGCATGCAAGAACACAGACACAGCTTTTGCCAAACCAGGCCTTTCACCACTTCATCCCTACTCCCAACCATGAGGGTTCTCACTGTACGTCCTTTTTGTGGCTATGCCACCCAGGAAAACCAATGTCCTCTATGGCACAAAGGAAGAGACCTTCCTAGGCTAGTGTGGCACTCCGGCAATGTGGGGGAGAGTCGGGTGGGTCTGTGGGAGCCTCTCATACTAGGGTGACACAGGCTGACGCCACTGGCATCCTGCCTCCCCTCCACGAACACTGCTGGCTCAGGATGCTCGTTAGAAGTTCTCCCCTTGGCAGCTACCCTCCTTCTAACCCTAGGAATACTAGGTCAGAACACAGCCAAGAAAGCTCTCCCTGGGAGGAGTTTTCCTGACTGGAATGTGGGGGTGGGAAGAACAGGAGGGTGAGTCAGGTGACTGTGACATACATTCCCAGAGCTCAGGCTAGATGGAGTCTCCAGTCAGTGGGGCTCTACCTGGTAAGCCACAGACCAGTGGGGGGGGGGGGGGGCTCTGTGAAAGGGTCAACAAGCAGCTTTCCTTGTTTTCCTTAAAATAAATCGGAAATCCTTTTAGACATAAAGCTTTAGACCCAAGTATGAAAAGTAAACAAAAAAGAAAGAACACTCCTTTCCTAAGAGGAAAGGGAATATGGTAAATGAACCAAGGGTGCCTGCCTACAAGATAATAATGTCCTTACAGGTTCCATTAAAACATGGGCAAACCTGGGGTAACAGTCAGCCAACACCCAGACTCGCTACAGACACAGTGTCAAAATGCAATGGATCAAAGTAAGATGGAGTGGAAAAATGTCATGGCACAATGTGACCAACAGGAACACAAGGCAAGTACTCAACACACTCAGTGAGGAGCAACCTACAGAAAAGCTTGATTGGCCCATCTTTTGTGGAAGCAGAAAGAACAGAGAAAATACAAAAAAATTAGATATGGTTAGAGTCAAGTGGCTCAGCGGTTCACGCACTCTTAGCATAGAATTTCATGCTTCTTTGGACACATTTCACAAGGCAGCAGAGAGACAAAAGTTCATTTCCATTCAGGCCTGCCTTGAAAATTCACTTTACCTTATATGTTTTTTTATCCTGTTTAGAAGAGGGAAAGAAAAAAATGTATTTCACTGTCATTGTTCCAAATAGCCATAGTCTATTAGTAGACCACATACTGGTTAAGTGTTCCACAGGATTGAAACAATTTCCCAATAAAAAAATAACCAGCAAAGGTCCAAGTGCTCACTGAGAGGATCCAAACTCATCTTCCCGAGACAGCCAACATCGTGGACTGCCCAGCATCCCTAGTGACCTACCTTGGGAAAGGGAGCCAGATCTTCCTAGCATAGATCCGAGGAAGTAAGCCCTATGCTTCAAATGCATATTTCACACTACGAACATTTTCTTTATAAAGAACAAAAAATCCACCCTCTCTTCTAGAAATAAACAATGGACACTTCCTCTTGGCCTCCTAAGAATATACTTGCTCTTTGCCCATAAGAGATTCTGTCACTTGTGGATCTAGAAGCCCAGTGACATCATGAGAGTCTGACTTCTCGGGGGCATCAACTCAGCCTTTCTATTCTACTGGGAAATTCTACTTGATTCTGTGTGGCCTCTTGGGTGGGGAGAGGAGGGGGAGGAAGAAGGAAGATGGGGGGGGCAGAAAAACATCTCAAAAATCAGCTTCAATCACTAAGTACTGAAAGCCAAATTAAGGATAAATAATAATGCAATTAAAGGCCTTGAGGGAAATGCCTGATCCCAAGCTATCAAAGACTCATAAGGATCTTGGAATCCTTGCATCTTCTAAAACAAGATGTTTCTTACAATCATTTAATGGACACATACAGGACCACACAGGAGGTTTTTCAATCCCACCTACTGTCCTCCAAATTGCATATGACACCACGGGGAAGACTTCCGAACGTGGCAGCCCTGAAGCCACCAGTTATCAGCTAAGCACAGACTGTGACACTTTGAACTCAAGGCAGTCAAGAGAAGCAACAAGTTTTGGAAATTAGTAGCAAGGACCCAAGCAGAAGAAACAAAAAACAATCAAACAGATGGGATACCACCTTGAGAAAGAAGCCCTAGCCTGCACATCTCAGTCTCCTGTCCCTTCCCTGCCAAAGTGGCTGTGAGTCCTATGTCAGAGCTCAGGTGAATGGAAGCAGATGCTGAATCACACGTCAGCTTTTGCCAGGGAGAAAGGAAGCAGCCCTAAATGAGACAGCATGGCAGACACATCTCACAGCAAGCGCTCTTCAGGGGCTACAAGGAAAGCCCCATCAGTGAGCCCAGGTGCACAGAGCAGTTAGGGTTCCCACACAGTCACTGAGAACAGCCTGGTGATGGAATAGATTCCCAGGGCTTGGTAGGAGGTCTGTTTATTTACATTCCATAATCCAACAGTTCCACCAGGACTCTCCAGCAACTTTTCTCTTCAGAAGTAATAAAAAGTTCTAGAAAAAAGTGATAGATGGGAAGACGGGCAGAAATAAGCTACTAACTTACTTGGAACATCACTCTAAACAGGCATTTTATTGGATCATTGTCAGTTTTATAGAAATCTGGGTAGAATGCATTTGTTATGGGGAGCTTTCAGATGTCCTAACGGGCTCCAGTCACTCGGATGAGTTAGCCCTAGTGACTGACTGGAAAGCTGCACACAGGAAACCTGCACAGCTCAGACTGTCTTTTAGACTTTTAGACTTCAGGGAAAAGCATCTGAAAAAGGCAGCCTCAGAAGCAGAGGTTACTAGAGTGGCAATTCAGAGTAAATAAAGAGAACCCACAAACAGACTGCAGTGAATGAGAAAGCAAATTCCTCAGTATCACAGAGATAGAAACCTCAGAGTGATTCCCAACGCCCAGGAAATATTCCACAACTCGGAAATGGCTTGGAGCGTTATACAAAAGTGTAAAAATTCATTTCTGAGAGTCAAAAATAAGGACTTAATATTCCAAGGCATTAGAGCAACTTTCACTTGCCCACCTCCTTTTCATTTCTGATGAGGCAGGATGCTGCACTATCTTCTGGTTAACAGGAGGCCCACGTGATAGATCTGGGAGACTTTTACAACAGGCATATACTGCTCTTGGCAGCACCTTCCACTTAAACGCTCCACTGTTCTCAAATGCTCAGAAGTCATGCCTGGAAGCCTGTATCAATAAATACACAGGAAAGCACTTCCCCCTTATCTAGACAACATTTCAAAAACAACTTTTAAAAATGCCTCTGCCTAACCTAGCCTCTGGCCACTACAGGTGTCCAGGAAGTGTCTGTTGAGCTCACAAAAACGCACTGCTCTTCAGCCAGGTAACTTGGTGTACATGTACCCACTCCCCAAGATGACTAGGAACTACATGCACTGTAAGCCTGCAAACATGTACGAATAAAAAAAAAGAAGGTACCTCATCTCTTCCTTTCTCTGGGTGGGGCCGGGCAAGGTGGAAGATGAGGTGAGCCATCAGAACCTCTTGTTACTGGGAGTGTGACAAAGCACACACAGAGGACAGTGCTTCTCACGTCTGACTATGTCCTTGTACTGCCTACAATCACAGAAATGCTCCTCTACTAAGAGGAGATATGTCACTGTGAAAGACTTGGTGTTTGGAAGAGTGGCCTTCACTTTCTGGAGATAAGAAAAAATGAGTTCTTCTTACATGAGTACCTCAGTATTCTGTGCTCTTACCTGCTAATCCTGAGTTGAAAACCACTGTGGGTGAAGACATCCCGGGCAGCGGGGGTGCAGAGGGAGGGGGTGGTGGCAGAGGAGGAGCTGGCACAGTCTCAGCTGCAGGCCCCGGGAGAGGAGGAGGAGGAGGAGGAGGAGGAGGTGGGGGTGGGGGAGGGGGAGGCGGTGCCGTGGGTGGTGTCACTGGACCATTTGTCGCTAAAGAAGAAAACACACACATTGACTCTGGAAACAGAGAGATGGTATTCTTGCAGCATGTCACATATAAAGTATGTGAACACAAAATACTTGAAAGGATTGCTTTCAAGACCATAAAATTCCCTGACTGACAAATGGGGAAAAAATAATGTAACATGGTGATGTGAATATTTATAACCTTAATTTCAAAATGTAAACAGTTCTTCAATTCAGTACATAAAAGAACACGGTATCCTAAGCAGACAAAGGACACAAATAATTAGTAAAAGAAGAAACACAGACATCCCAATGCTGCCTTAGTTCTCTTGTGAAAGCTTCTTACCTGCCTCAGGTGTGTCAGACGGCAGAGGCAGTGGTGGAGGAGGTGGGGACAAGGGTCCTGCCGTGGCGGTCCCAGTAGCCGGTCCTACACAGTTGCCCACTGCTGCTTCGGAGCCTGCGGACAATGCGCCAGGAGCCATGACTGGCAGTATGGCGATGTCCCCGTCCCCCCTCTTCTGGATTTTAATGGTCCCTTGTTTCTCCAGTTCATGAATCTTTTTTTCCAGGGTAGACTGTCTTTGAATGGCTTCTTCTTTTTCTTTGACCATTTTTCTTAATGTGTGAACTTGGGTATTTGCGTCTTTGTAGATTTCCTGGAAAAGAGTCCATAGTCAAGAGTTTGTCTTCATATGGCATCCACACTTACGACCATCAGATTTACAAACTAAGGATAAAGGAGGTGACTTTAAAAAGAGAAAAAGGATACTCACATAAATAAGAATTCTACAAAACTCGGCCAGAACTTATACAGTGCTAGTAATTATTAATTACAGTTGTAATGCATGCAATATATTCTAATAATTGTTACTGTTAATCAAAGCTCTTTCCATCTACTAAATGCTGCTAACTCGATTTTCCCTGCAGATGGAAAGGAACAAAGCCGATATGACTTTTATTCCCAAAAGCTGATTTTGAAATATCCTGAAGATTGTTCTGGTAGTGCAGCATGTTTTCCTTGTACTTATTTTAAAATTCATTTGTAACTCCTAGATACACATATCAGCTAACAACAGACAAAGAAACCCTAAATCTGACTTGGATAGTAAACAGACTAGGATTAAAAAATTTGCAAAGCAAGGAAGAACCTATTCATGAGTGCCAGGGACTGACTGTCCTTGAATGGATTTCTCTGGCCCTCATAATGGCCCTTCACCGAGTTCAGGACAGCAATCGTTCTACCATTTTCCCCTTAGTAATGCAGTTAACAAAACAGGACAAAGCTTCCCTTCACTAATTACTTACTTCTGTCTAAGTTTTTAGCAGAAAACAAAAGTTACAATTTTCAATTCAAAGGCTGCCCTGGTTCCTTTATTAGGTGAAACAGTTTTATGGAGCTAAACTTACTTGCTGGGCCTTGCACATGTGAACTCTCACCACAAACCTCCAGCAGGCAGGGAAACATTCTTCACACCCTGTCTATTATTAATAATCTAAGACTCTGAACTTGAATTGAGTCCATATGCTACAACTGTGTCTCGATCGTGTGCCAGAAAATAAATTTCCTAGAGTTAACTGGAGGATGTGTCAGAATGTCAAGCAACACAGACAGACATGATAACCATCAAATAAAATGTGCCATTGCATTAATGGTGGCATAAAGGCAAGCCGTTTGCCTGAAAACCCTCCAGGCATGTGGCTGTTTCTAGGGTTTGCACAATTACAAGCACAAGGATGGCACTCCATAAATACCTGACATATAAGGTAAAACAACCCTAAAGCCAAATAAAATAACTGGGATTATCTGATAATAAAATGGATTGGTTTGGCTTTGCTTTTTTGGTTTTTTTTTTTTTTTGGTAAATGCTGTTAGGTCTAGTCTATGTTGTGATTTCAGTTTCCATAGCAACCACCAAATCTGGTTTTGAGTAGAAGCAAAGCAAAGAAATACAATGAAGTCCCAGTCCTAATAAAAATAAATAAGTGGCATGAATTAAATCCATACTCTGTTTTTATTTCCAACAAAATGGGTGACCCACAGAATCAAATCAGCTTCCCCCAGATAGGAAAATATTGTTGCTCCCAAAATACATGATAAGGAAATACTGAACTCTAGTATTGGATTGGACACTCATGTATATACATATCTCAACTTTTCACTTGATATCACCTCTGAAATGATTCCAAAAACTATGCGGCACCAGTGCAGTCCCCTGAAATCAATGTCTCCCACATAAAGGAGACTAAAGAGGGAGCACACACCCTGCCACGCCTCTCTGGGTGGCTGCCACCCTCACACTTACTCGGACAACGTCCAGTTCCTTGTTCCTCTGCATAAGCTGCTTCTCCAGTTCCACAATCTTGGACATGGCTTCATTCTCTGTATCTTGAAGCTTTTCAGATAACTGTAAAATTTTGAAAAGGAGGCTGTGTCAAAACACAGGAACGTTCTGATCAGGTCCTTGGTCGACAGAAAATGTAGATCCAAGATTAGGGGCCTGCAGGAAGCCCTGCATGTTCCATAAGATGCTTTCTGGAAACATTAATATGGCTCCAAACACATACTGTTTCTACCAGGAATAATTCTTACACGATTCCGAATAAAACCTATGCGTCAGCTCCTTAGTGTTTGAACATACACAGCCATGTCTCTCTCCATTCCTTCAGCCAAGGTAGAGAACAGTTAGGTAAAAGAGGAAGGGAGGTCTATCTCCCCAGCCAAGAAAGGGGCACCAAGCAAAAGCTTTTGAAAACTGATTTAGAAAACTTCATTTTGACGTTATATGCAGCCAGCTGAAAATACTATTGCTTATTTTGACCCAAACCACACAAATAATAAAAGTTATTTGGAGGGGCACTACAAATAAAAGTGGCTTGCTACAAAAGTGGTTATAAGTATGGTCATGCCATGATGACTGCCTTCAAGAGACAGACAGGATCAGCCATGTGTAAAATCATTGCTTTTTGCATAAGGTACTGTGATTGAGCAATGTCTTCTTTCTTATTTCTCACTGGAAATGGATCATAAGTAAAAGAACTAGGGATAAAGAGTGAAGATTTATGCTGATTGAGTTCGATCATAATTGGGCCTGCTGATTCTATTAGTAAGCAGACACCAAGTAGGTTACTACAGCACTCAAAAAGGGAAGGGTTTTGGTTCACCAGTTGATCTGGAGATGTCCATTTTCAGAGTAATGCTAAGTGGTGAAGGAAATGAAGCACATGCAGAAAATGCAGAGGAACGCACAAGGGCTGTTCAAAGGGAAAAATAATATTCTTCCAAATAGACAGTTACGGTTTAGATGTAGATGTCCCCTGCTTTATGTGCTCATGAGTGGGGCTTTTGGGAGTGGCTGGATCATGGGTGTGAGATACGGGGTTAGTCCACGGATGGGTTCAGCATAGTTATGGGTGAGGATGATGAGCTAGAGGGAGGTCCAACCTGGAGTGTGGGTAGTACAAAGCAAGAAGCTCATAGCCTGGATGGAAAAAAGGGAAAAGAAGAAGGAAGAGTCGCTGCTCCCTGCCTATCCTACCATGGACTGTTTCTCCTCTGCCACGCTGCTCTGGTTTGGAGCCGGCCAGTTACGGACTGAAACTTCTGCAAATTGAGAACTAAAATAAACCTTTCCTCCTTTAACTTGTTAGTGTTGGGTATTTTTTCCCAGCAATGAGAAAGTAACTAAGACAGAGATGATTCATTTCACATTCAAGGAAAGTGCCAATCAATTCATGAAAAGAATTGGCCCTCATAATGCTTGGGCTTTTCTGCTCATTCTTTCACTATTGTAATACTTCTTTAATGAATGAACAAGTGAACAACCTTCTGAAGGCCTTCAGACTCATATTTGAGTTGATTTGTGGCAAGAAATATCCCTCAAAGAAAACTGAGTCCTTGTCCTGGTACAGAGATGACATTATATTAAGAGTGCACTCTTCTACAAAGAGGAAGATATTTGGGAAAGCTCCCTGGTTTCCTCCAAAATGTCTACTGTTGAGTCTAAGGGAATTTGTACAATTACGAAAGAGGAATGTTCTGAAACATTCACAGGAACACTAGCTAATGATGTCCACAGAACTGTGTCTTTTTTGAGAGGAAATGGCTCACGTTCAGAAAATACTTCCTCATCTCAGGCCAAATTCCCCTACTTCATTTCCTTCTAGGCAATGCTAATCATCCCCGCTCCTGTACCTAAGATCACCAGAAGCACTTCAGAGGGGTTGCAGCTCATTCCATAGCCTCCAAGTTTTTTACTATCATAAAAGCTAATGCTAATTATCCTTCGCACACAGTTGAAACGTAAGCAATTTTTCTCCTTCTGAGATATAGTTACATGAGAGATGTTTTCTTCCAGTTCTTCCACTCTCTCTAAGGCTGCATTCTTGGTTTCTGCGTCTTCCAGCAGAGCTCCTACATCAAACACGTTGTCCAGGTATGCCTGAATTTGTACTTGTAGCTTGTCACTTTCTGTGTGTTTCAGCTTCTAAGAAAACAGAATCCCAGGTAAGGTAGTGTTAATTTATCTGTAGAAATGGAATATATCTACCCAAAATTTTGTAAGTTTTATTTGTTCCAAAAAATCCAGCTTTGGCAAGAGGGTACATGGTGTCCAATCTTTTGACTTCCCTGGCCCCATTGAGTGAAGAGGAATTGTCTTGAGCCATACACAAAGTGAATAATATAATTAATGTATGTAGGTAACAAAACATCCTTTTTTATGTTTAAACTTATTAAACTGTTTTACAAAACAGCCCAAGCCAAAGCTTAATCATTAAAAAGAGTCACATGTCTGCTTAATAATAAATGCCTATCTTCACAGACACATGCATGTAGGTTGAAACACTATTATGGGGAATCACTGCATTTTACTCGCCAACTCATGCAAGCACTTATAACATGTGATACACACGTGTTTCCATTTCCCAGGCTGTGTATGGTCTTCCCAATCCTGTGCAGTTATATTGCAATCTAAACCATTTTTTATTTAAATGAAACCAGTCAACAGAAAAATCAAAAGCAGCTTTGAAAAGGAACAGTCACCAACAACCTAAATAAAACTCGAGCGTGTCTGGGTAGTACAGAAGACTGGAGTGGCTGGTATCTTGCCTGAGTAGTGATGGGGCATCCAGTGGAGGCCAAGGGGCAGACAGGGGAAGAGAGTTAGGAAGTGAGGTAGACAATGGGAGAGTTTATATTCAACCTTGAGCTTATTTTAGAATAAACTACCAGACTCCTTCCCCAGGGCAGTGTCCCACATGAATACTCAGGGCTGCACAAAGCACAGATCAGCAAGCTTTGTCCAGTTCACTACTTCCCGGATGAGGCAAACAGAAGGAAACCAGCTAACTCTGTGGCAAAATGAGCAGCCAAGTACATCAGTGACTCTTCCCTACAGGAAACACAAATTATGATTTCCTGGGGACTGGTGAGCTGTTAGACTGATATCTAGCACACAGGTGATGCTAATAAATATTTACTAAAACCAATGACCATTTGCAAGGCTGCTTTTGTGAACTAATGAAGTAGTTATATACACTTACAATATTACTCTTAAAACCACCTCTTATCAGGATGCAGAAGCAACACACTGAAAAAGTTAAAGAATAAGTTTTGCAAAATCTTAAATTTTTAAGAGGAACTTTGCTTTGTATAAGTTCTCTGACTTAGGTCCAACCTGAAATACCACACCTTGGATTGTTCTAAAGAGAGTATGTTTCATCTCAGTTTAGGAATCAGGACTGGAAAAGATTTCTGAATAAGGGCAATGGCTACAAAATAAAATGGAAAAGAAGCATCATGGGACTTTTCACAAGATTTACAATGAGTAACAGGTGTTAACTAATATGTTACTATCTACTACCTGTCATTATAACCTGGAGCCTAAAGTAAGACATCATAAACCTGAGCCCAGAACATCAGTAGGGATCTATGTACACAAGTATTGTTAAAATACTGTACTCCTAGTCTCGAGGATAAAAATGAGGAAACAGATCTCAAACTCGAAGCACGAGGGGGTACTTTAATGACATCAGTGGGTCTTTTCATAAAAAGGAAAATCATTCCAACAACTTTTTACCAGAAACCCAGGACAGGTCTCCCTGAGTAGGTTCTGTAGACATTAGGTCCATCTACTAGAGGGTACACTGGCTGGTGTAGAAAGTGAGGCTAGCAGGTTGAAAGTAACCAGCTCTGTGATCCTGCCCATCAAGTGAGGTTACAGTGTGTGTGATCCCCTCACTTTATCCCCAATGAAGAGGGGCAGTGGAACCCTGGAAATGCCCATGGGAAGTGCTTCTATTTCTTTGTAGCTAAAAACAGCCTTGAAGTGGAGGTGAGCAATTCCTGGCCTTATCACACTAGTGGTCTTCCAAGTTTAAATGGACCAACCCTAAGGAAAGCAAAAACTGCCTAAAAGTCAAAGAACAGGGAAACACCCTGTCATCATCAGATGTACCCCTAATGCCTTGATCCAGAATCATGAGCCAAAATAAAACCCTTTTTTTTATTTTAAAAAAAGGGAGGGGGCATATCCTTTGCTCATATAACTACTCAAGTCCACTTATGATTTTCACATCAACTTTCTGTTTCTTAACTGAAGAACTTCAGGGAACTGGCTGAGCACTTCTGCAAGGGAGTCTGAAAAAGAAACACTGAACTCCGCTCTCCAAAGAACTGAAAGTGGAACTTCTAAAGCCACAAACACTTTGAGCTGAATTTAACAGCTTCAGGAGGAAGTCTCTGGTGGCCATTTCCTCATTATTTTTTTTATGTACTAAGCATTTACTCATCATTCTATAGCAGTCTTGGTTTGACTTTCCCTGCCCAGATGGGCTCCCCAGAGTCACCAAGAATGCAAATTGTGCTGCAGCCTGGATGAAGGATGCAATGAGACTTGACCATACAGAGCTTGAAAGCAGAGGAAAGCTAAGCAGGGCTGTAAGAGGTTATCTGAGACCCGGACCCCAGGAAGTCCCAGAAGGTCGGCAAGAATTCAGCTTCTCTGGCAGACTCCATCGCTCAAACTGGTCCCTCTAACTAGGTTGACAGTAGCTGATCACACTGAGCATCAAGCCTTCTTTAGCCATGGTGGAAGTGTACGTTTAAGGGTAGGTAATAAATCAATACTTATAGTGAAGCCAAAGAGTATAGCTGTACTCACATCCAAGTATTCATCCAGGCCTAACTTGGTAAATTCATACTGGAGGTGAACTCTGAAGTTCATGTCTTCTACTGAGTGGACCACAATATTAATAAACTGCATAGAGGCAACCTGAAATAAAATTCCCAAGGAGTTAGATGGGCTCCAAATTTTTTTAAAATCAATTTAATCACAGGCACATGCTCTTAATTTCACAAATCTAGGCTTACTTACCAATTGTATTTTCCTTCATTTCACTGGATCTTTAAAACTATTTTATAATTTTTAAATTAAAAAAGTCATAGAAGTATCTGAGTAAGATACCAGTCCACACCCACTAGTATGGCTGTAATAAAAAAGAAATACAATAACAAATGTTGGCAAAGATGTAAAGAAAATTCCCACTTCTAGAGGGAAGGTAAAATGATGTAGCCACTTTCAAAAATATGACACCTCCTCAGAATGGTAGCATTCCCACACAACTTAGCAATTCTGCTATGTAGGAAAAACAGAAGTGCACATCCACAGAAAAATTTGTCTACAAATGATTATAGTAGCATTATCCATGACAGCCAAAATGCAAGAAGAATCCAGTGTCCACCTCCTGACGGGTAAATACAGTATATTTACTTAACGGGATAGGGTGTAACAGCAAAAAGAGATGTAGTACTGAAATAGGTTAGAGCACAGATGGACTTGAAAACATCCTGGTAAGTGACAAAAGCCAGTCCAAATAAACATCAACTATTGTGAGTCCATTCATATAAAATATCCAGAATAAGCCAAACCATGGGTGAGGAGTTGCTTCGGGCTAGGGTTTGGTAAATGTGGAGCGATTGCTAATGGAATCAGGGAAGGTGAGAGGATGTTCTAAATTAAGTTGTGGGGATAACTGCATCAGCCTGTGAATTCACTAAATATACAGTGACATACATTTCTAGTAGGCAAAGTGGACGGTATGTTAACTGTACTTCGGTAAAGCCATTTCTAAGAAGTCATATGGATATACAGAGAGCTAACCAAGTACATTATTGCTTACATGTCATAAAATATGAAAGTTATTACAAAGAATAGCCTCACCACAAGATAATCACTTCCAAAACTTCACTGTGAGCTCAACCCTACCAATAGGACATTAATAGGTCTTTGACCCATCTTTCCATGCAATCAACCAGTTTCTATTTCATAAAAGCCTTGCATTATTCTGTCCACACATGGCATCGGTGGCCCCGAGACCTGTCCCAGAGAAACCCAGTCTCCAGCTTGGTACATAAAACACTGAGCTCAGCTGGATGTGGTGGTGCACAGCTGTAATTTCAGCACTCAGGAGGGTGAGGCAGGAGGATCACCATGAGTTTGAGGCCAGCCAGGGGTACATAGTGAGTTCAAGGGCAGCCTGAACTACACAGTGAGATCCTACTACACAGTGAGAACAACAATAAGAACAAAAATAGAGCTCAACTGGCATATTTTTCTTTCATCTGACTCCTCAGTATCTTGTTCATGCTTTCCCTCGATGGCTATGATCCAGCACAGGCTCTAGCAAAAAGGTAAAATGACGGAGAGACCTAGATGCCTAATTATTCTGAGAACCACATTATTCTTCCTCTCTCCTCCAAGTCCAATTATCCTTATCTTTTTAAAATTGTTTTAACTGAGTTAGTTTTTTTTTAATATGTTACACACTGGTTATCTTTGGAAGATGTGTAAACTCTCTAGGTTACAAGGGGATTCTATAGAAATTTACTAATGAGTTACTTCAGGTTATATAGTTAAATGAAAAAGATTCTGTCAGGTTTTGTTTGCTTTTGTCCACAAAAATACAGAACAAGGTCTCACACTAGATTAGAAGAATTTATATTATATGCTACAAAGAATATATTGTTTGGGAGGTTGGGCAACCTAAGTGCATTCCCAGTGTAATTCATCAAAAGCCTCATTTTCTGGAGGTAAAATCTGGCTCATTTCTAGCATCTTTTCATTTCTCTGGTAAAAACAGGTCTAAATGACCTACTGAGCTTGACGATATGATGAAGCAATTGCTTGTATGACCCATGAATCCAGCACAGAGTACCTGTGACTAGGAGCCTCAGTGCCTGTACATATGGATAAGCGCACTGACAGGAAAGGGGCTGGACCACCCCGTGAATGAATTGTCATACAGGTGTTATAATGAGCTTTTTATAATTTCAGCAAAAACTCAAGTGACAGAGAAGTCCACAGGGATCACAAATGAATGGTCCACATGTAGTTCATTAGGGAACAATGTGGACTGTGACCAACTGGAGAAAACTTTAGGGGATACGTGCCTCTACCACACTTCACAGGTAAGGCCCTGATGTTATCAGACATTTTTAACTTTTAAAAAACTCAGACATACATTTTTATGAACCATACTCCAAAAAGAATTGCTTTTAACCCTCATTGTCCAAATAAACTCACAGGAGGGTAGGTTGGCTTCAGCCTGGAGACTTCTAGTTTACCAACTCAGCTCTAACAGAACAAACAACTTCCTCCTAACAAGCACAGGAAAGAGATTGGTAATATGAGCCAAGGGATGGACCTCTTTACAAATATATCATCAGTGCCAGAATAATCTGAATGTCTCCAAAAATTCCAATAACAAGAATTTAAAAGTCAAAGTAACCCGTTTCACATTTACTTTTATCTTCTTTTTTTTTTTGTACCAGGGATCAAACTCGGGACCTTGCGCTTGTGAGACAGGCGGCAGAACCCCTAAGCTAAATCCCCAGCTGCTACTTTTATCTTTTTGAAAGCAAATAACTTAGTATAAAAACAGAAAAGCTTCTTTGAAAAGGATTTCATCTTTCTCATTGATTTTGAAAGAGGCTAAAGGCTAGCATATAAAATTTTAGTTCCCTACCAGGCATGGAGGCACACATCTGTAATCCTAGGACTCAGGAGGCTGAGACAGGAGGATCAACACAAGTTCGAGGCCAGCCCCAACTACACAGTGAGACCGTCTTATTAGCTCCCAGGAAAAAAATTTCACTTCAAAAGATTAGATCTTTGAAAAGCTGTTTCACGCTTTATAGTCACTGAAACAATTCAAATTAACACTTTACCTGGCACCCTAAGCACTGGCTTTGCAATGTAAGAACCATGTAGGAGACCTGCTCCAGCTAGAAGTGATCTGAGACTAAACCCAGATAAGGATCTCCTGGGAACATAAGTTCTCTATGGCAACTGGATTAGGTCAAAGCCTGAAGATCTGGGTGCATTCAGAAGTAACATGTCTCAAGAAATTCCTTCTTCAGATTGGGTATGAATTCAGAAGTATTGAAGCTCGTTCTGCTGCTGTTCTCACCTGAGAAAGATAGGACTTCTGTGGAACCACATAAGTGTAATCTAACCTGTTAAGAAGAGCTATAGTACAATTATGCCCTCCCAGAATTACTAAAGCAGCAAAGAGACCAAAGGGGAAAAATCATCGCTGCATATTAACTTGGGGGAGAGTTACAGTCAATTGTACGGAAAGCATTTCTTCATCTTTGGGAATATAGTGTGGAGAAGGGCATTGACAGGGCCTGTAAGAGTCCAAAAGAACAAGATTCCATCTACCTTAAGGATTATTACATAGCACTACTTAGAGTTCGCAATTGTAAGCATTTTTACCAGGCCTCAACTTCTTTTGCGCAACTGCATGATTTCTCCCTTTATTTGCTACTTAAAAAAAAGAAAAAATCAGTACTTTCAGCCTTTATAGGAGTGTGGATGAAATGAATAAATCTGTAAATAAATGCCATAAAACAAAACTACAGATGAAAAGGAGCATTTTTAGAATGGATCTATAGCATATTAAACTCAATTTCCTGTCCTTTGGGGGGGGTGCGCGCACGCATGCCCACGCACATAGACTAGGGGAAAAGCGCCGAAACTGAGATTGCTTTATTGAATGTGGTCCTAAAATAACTTACCATAAAATCTATGTTATTGTCTTCATTCCTGAAATGTTCCATCAACTTCTCAAAGCGCTGTTTTTCTCCACAAACCTGAAACATACGTTTTTATTGTGACATAACATTCCAAACATAGACATTCCAAAACTAGATGCAGAAATTTCAGCACTAATAATTATTCCCAGATTGTCTTTTTTCCCCCTCTCTCATACACTATTTACTTCTCTTCAAAGCTCATTAACTCACAAACAGCCACATGAATCAGGACCAAAAGCTGATCCTTGGTTTTTATTTCATATGCTCTTGATATTTTGAAATCTATTTCAAATGTGTTTTCTTTTACTGGTTGTCCCTGCAAATCTATTAATTTTTAGCATGCATTCAGAATCCAAGAATGTAGTTCATGGTTTAAAAAACTGACTAAATTTTCCATTTTTACCAAAGTACTCTATAAAAAGACATACTAAAACATTTGAATATGGTATTTACATTCCTTGAAAGACAGATTCAATATGTTCATATGTCTAACTAAATCAAATAATTTTAGTGCATGAATTACGGAAGTAAAGTAGGCACTTCGGTAAGCCACTGTTACCCTACTTAAAGTGAGTACAGAAATTTACAATCGTTTTGGAAGTAGCTTCCCACAGGCCTGAAACATATGCATTCAGTTCAAATTAATGCTTTAATAGGTGAAATAAACAGATAAAATACTGAGAAATCTAGGAAACCAAGTTATTTTCATACATACAGAATTAAATACGTAGAGCTAAAACCACAGAATCAAAGACATGTTTGTGCAAAATAATAACCCTTTGGAGATTTATTCCCAAAAATCACAGGAAGAGCTTTAATTCTGTCCCCTTTAGGGGGGCAAATTCCTCTGCTCACTTGTTTATTCATTCTGCCTTCAGAAATTATTTATATGAACCACCTGTGGACCACGTGTTGAATTAGAACATAGTCCCTGGTTTTACAAATTAAATCTAGGTTTCACATGCTAAACTAAATTTTCTGATTCCATTTGTGATCTGAGCAATATCCACAGCAATTTTCAAGAATTCTAAAACAGTATTTCATAATGCTATAATGCAACCATTTAACCCAGTCATATGAAGTTCTATGTGAACATACATAGATATTAGTAAAGAGAAAGCCCCACAAAGGCAAGAATTCTGTATTTTATTCACCCCTATATGGGCAACATTCTTGATCAATGCTTAACACACTGTAAATTGTCTGTATTTGCTGAACTGCACTGACTAGAAGATAATTAAGTAATGGTGCTAGCATATACCTCACAAAAGGGTGAATAACTGACTGCTATTCTCCCTCATGTTTTAGAGTGAGCACTAGAAGTAATAAATCTTTAGTGAGAGCTCCTGGACCTGAACCCTACGTTGGGAATGTTAAGGCCAACAGCCTTCAATCTCTGAGGCTCTACCCTTACATGACTGGGTATTTCCCACAAACTCAGGACAGATAACTATTCTCCATTTATTATCCCTGCCTTCATGAAAAAAAAAATGGTTTCAGAAGGCAGAGAAATATTGCATGGCCCAGACTGGAGGAAGTGGAGGAGGCACTGGAAGGGGGAATCTAAAGTAAAACCTTTGAAAAACATACTGCCCAATCCCACCCTAGAAGGTTCATTCAACAGTCCTGAGTGGAACTTGGTGACATGGAAATGCATAATTTGAAAAGCATTATGGTTATCTTGATGCTGCAGAAGGGACGAAGACCAGAGATCTAAGGGGATAGCATGTTCTGCCACTGTGCCTCAGGGTACCCTCTAGAAAATATACAGCAAGTTCCTGAACACAAAAGGTCTGCTGAATGTAGTGAGGTAGTCTAGGCCCTGCTCCCTAGACTGACACCAGCCACATCTGTATCCAAAGAGACAAGTGTACCTCACCTACAAAAAGGGCCCAGTGGATGAACACTGCCAAGGTGTGCCGTAGAAAGGGTCAGAATTGCAACCTGAATTTTCTCTAGCAGACACCACAACCTAAAGGCTCGTTTCTCAGGAGAATGGTTTGCCTCAATCTTATTTTAGGAGATTAGGAATGGCAGGAAAAGAAAAAGAAAAAAGGCTGTCTTGCCTCTGTAGCTACAGCATGCCTGAGAAGTAGACTATGATTAAGTTCTTGTTGAGTGAAGCAGCAACCACTAAACTAGAAGAGTCAACAGCCACCAGTGAACAGTGTTGACAAACACAATTTCTAGAAGGACAACGCCATTCAGACCCAAGGATGTCAGGAAGCTGGAAAGTACCATCGGTCATCTCATGTCCTCAGTTTATGAAAGGGACCGACACTCAGAGGGATCAAACATCCCCAACGTGATGGAAGGTCAACACTGATGGGCAGAGCCAGGCCCCCAACAGCCAGCCTCACAACCCCACTCCCACACAGCCCAGAGTGCTCAGATAAACACACCACTCTCGAGATGCTACTCAAACCCACTTGAGGATTATCAGAGACAACAGAGATGAAGAACATAATGAAAAATCACAATCATTTCAAAGTGTATATAATACTTGACATCTGTGTACCAGAATCTTGCACAGACCTTCTAAACCCAGCAGACTTCTGAGTCTAAATCGAGACATACTGGGTAAGAATCTCAGAGAATCTCCACAAAGGGAAGTAAGATACTGTACTTTTAAAAAGGCCTCATTGGTTTTTGGACCAGCATTTAAGAACAAGTTGTTCATATAATATTAGACTGATTCAATCCGCAGCCTTTGGAGTTTTTTTTTGGGGGGGGGCAGTGTCTCACTCTAATTCAGGCAGGCTAATTGAGTGCAGGCTGGCCTCAAACTCGTGGTAATCCTCTTGCCCCAGCCTCCAGGGTGCTGGGATTATAGGTGTGCACCATCACACCCAGCTGATCCTCAACCTTTTTGACTATTAACTATAAACTATATAGCTAAACCATTAACTTTCCAATGGATTCAACTTCCAACTGAGCAAGACAAATCAAGAAGCGTAAGTTACTATACCTGAGTATCATAGGCATGTAACAGAAATTAGCCCTCTTCCCTTGCACAGGTACAGTGAGTAACAAAGTAATTCACAAATAATCATGGATTGCATCCAGAGTATTAAAAAAGAGGATTTTCTACGGCTAGGGAAAGCACATGTAGACTACAACAAAACAAACACCCCATTAATAAAGAGAGGTGACACCACATCCAAAACAAGCAACACTAAATTAATTTCATGGTAGGTAAACATCCCAAGGAACATTGTAGTAGCCTAGTAGACAGGACTGAAAACGATGTTCAGATGAGCTCTGAACACACGTTTCTTTTGAAATCCCTCATCTTGTCAACAGATAAATCCATGCTGAGAACATATGTGTTATGAAAAAGAGAAATATCTTTAATCTTCTAGAGTAATGGATTTACATATCTTCCTCTTTAATAGCTGCTATAAACTTGGTGGAAAGAATTCAAACACGCAAAATGACATGTGGCTAACATAGATGCCAGGTCTGAGAAACCACGAAAGAACTTGTGTGATACTCTCCTCGTGACTGTATCAACTACAATGACCTTACTATGAGCTTCCCTGAGCCCCTCTATATAAAGGTGGAGGATGCCTCTAGCCCAATGTTAACTACTGAATTTGGAGCAGTATCCTCTGACATCATTCTCTAGAAATAGCATGAGTTTCAGGACCTCGCTTCATTTCTGCTGAAGGAAAAGAAGCATGCAAACCAGACTCAAATTTATTTCTATATGAATTTAGTAATCATTAAACAAGTGTAGACTATGATCCCACAGGAAATGGGAAAGACATGTTTGGTAAAACTTGTGCCCTACATCAAAGTTAAGTTGTCTCACTTCACACTGCTCACATCTGGACCACCTCCACAAACTTGGTTAAAACAGGACCCATCATGGTTGAATGAACTCCTTTGAACTGACCTCCTTTCAGAAAATTGGTGAGGATGAAAGAAAAAGACACTGATTTTTAGATATTTTTAGAATCCTCACATTGGCCTTCATAAAAATGCTCTCAAGGGCCTCATCAAAACATATGTAAGAGCCAGGGGCGTATTGGCACATACATATTATTACATGTTATATATTACTGCATATAACTTCCATCTGCCAACAAAGGCTGGACAATATATAATGTGGAAACTTAAATGAAAAAGTTAAACTACTGTAGTGAAATTTGTCATTCTTGACAAATTTAAATTCTCAGGTGTTCCCTCAGCAGCTCTGACATCAATTTTCTATTTTCTATATACATAACAGTAGTTGGAGGTGGGAAGCATGTTTAAGAGCTATGGAAAGACCAAGAAGAGCAGAGCAGACTGGAAAGGAGACCTTTTGTACATTGCACGTCTCTTTTAGCAACTGGACTTTCAATGCTAACAGCCAGGCTACCAGAAATCAAGTCAATCAGCAGAGAGATAAAAGAATACGCCCTGGAAAAGCAGGTACTCTACTGTAAATTAAGAGGTATCTTCCTTACAAATCACTTATAAATCAGTCTCATGTGAATAATAAGTTCACTGTCCCTGACTGACACTGCATAAAGTAAACACGCTCAGGATCGAATCCCGAACCACAGGCTTCAGTCTGCTAACCCAGCCACTGAGTTGCTCACCCTTCTGGGGTCCTGTCTAACACAAGCGTCCCTCTCGGCACCTTTAAGCTCTAACACTGATGGGATGAGGGTCTATGAGGGCAGAAATAGGACCATGTGGCATATAAAAGAGTACCTTAAAACCTAGGTTATACGTCATGGCTCTGCCATGACCCTGCTATTAGTTTGGACAACTCAGTGAAGAGCCCTAAACTTCACTTTCACATTCATTATTTTGAGAGCCTTAAATAAATGCTGGTTTTGAAAGGGGTGGAGCGGTGAGGGAAGAGGAGGGAAGTAGGACTTCAACATGGCGCCTGCGGTATTGGCTGTGGCTACGGTGACTGCCTGGCCCGGGGTGGGCAGAGTAGGGAGTGGTGGCGTTTGCTTTCCCTAGGGGCATCGGGAGCTCAGCCAGGACCAAGCCTGGGAGGCCAGCCGTCGCCAGCACCTTTCAGCTTTTGGGACAGTAGCGGCATTCAGGTTCTA